TCTTTAAGGCCCACATTATAAACAGACTATTCAGACCAGCAGCATTCTTTTATGCACGTTTTTTCATAAGTCTCCCTGCTATACACAATGCAACTTCTTCCAAGATAAATGTACATAGAATCTCAAGTGTAGTTGAACTGTGGTGTTATAAAAGTTTACATTCCACTGATTTCACTTAAATTAATCTGGATTTATACAACGATGGACCTTAAAGAAGCAGGACAAAAAGAGAATTGACCACTTTGAACTTTGCTGTTGGAGAAGATTCTTGAGAATACTGTCAATACTGCCAAGAAAGCAAACAGGATGGATCCTTGAGTATATTAACCCAGAATTCCCACTCAAGGCACAAAATGACCAGGCTCAGATATCCTACCTATTATGTAAAGACACAGCTCTCCAGAAATAGCTTTAATGCTGGAAAAGGTGAAAGGAAAGAGGAAGACAACCAGCAGCAAGGTGGATAAATTCAGTTACAATGAAGATGAGTGCACCATTGGGAGACTTAAAAGAACAGGTTATGGACAGGTTGTCATGGAAAAAAATCAAATAAATATAATGTTAGTGCTGTCCTTTTGATGAATTCTGTTTACAAGGGAAATTTGCTTGTTCTCTTCATTTTGAAAGAAGCATATTCTTATTATCCCAGATCTTTCTATCCAAATGTTTTTCCCTGCTACTTTTACAATTGCAGTATTTGAGTCTTTTTATCTGTCTGTCTGTCTATGTAAGTTTTGATTAGTTTGCTAACAAGAAGTCAGTATAAAATTATTTAAATAAATAGCATATTGACCTGTCATGTTCAAACACTTTCTGAAAACCTCCAAAGCATTTGTTGCTAGAAACTTCCTTCAAGGCCATGATCTCTGTTGAGGAAAAAAATGAGATTTCGTAAGTTAATTTTCTTCAGCAAAATCACATCATTATACATGACACCTGTGTATAAACATGTTAGCAATATTTAAGATGCTAAAAAAAACACAAAGATTTTGAAATAACAAAATTGCTTTAAAGCGCTAACATGAAAATATACATAAAATTGTTATTATCTCCCACCGACCTTCATTTTTCTCCCTTCCTCTTCACAATTGAAGACAATTAAAACTCTCTCATCACATGCAGTATTTCTTGTTCAGCAGAAACTTTCACAAATCAGCCAGCCAATAAACGGAAGTGCAAAAGAACGAGTAATAGCTACTTTAGAATAAAGAGGGCTGGTAAAATCAAAGATACTGGATTTAGGATCAAGGAGACTCAAATTCAAGCCCACATTCAGCAATGAAAACTGACTGGATTAGTTTAGATCTACTATTAAGGGGAAATCCAGCAAAGGAATGCTATAGCCACCTTATTATTAGCTTATTATTTTATAACCCACCTTTCACTTAAGATTTCTTTCCATTTTTTCCTTGGTGGGCTGAGAAAGCCAAACATTACCTAGTGAATTGCCTAACTTTACCAAGTGAAATTCTGTGGCTGAGAATGGACTAGAATCTGGGTCTTCTCATTATAGTTTGACATCTTAACCAGTATACCACACTGCTTCTTACCTTGAGCTTCTGGAAGAGAAGATGGGGACAGAAATCACCAGCCAAATTAGACAACATAAAGCTTAGAAAACAGAATTATTCTAGTACTGCAGATCTTTTCCAACCAATACAGTTGATTAAAAGGCTTAAGCTTTCATGAGCTGTCAAGATGACCTTCTCTGCCCTCTCCCCATTCTAACTGAAAGTCTACATGAATCAAACCACTCTATTTATCTGATGAAGTGAGTTACAGCTCACAAAAAGTATGCCTTTTAATAACATGTGTTAGTTTAAAGAGGTGCTATTAGATTCCTTTTGATTTTTTGCTATCAGACCTGGTGCTTTGCCTAACATTTGACACACAAAATCTTACTACTTCAATCTGAACCCATGCTCCTTCGGGTGGGTAGAGAAGCACTCTTATATTAATATTTACAATTGCTTTACAAGCCCTTGATAAGGAGGGGAGGTTTTGGAACACAGCCTTGCTTAAGGCCTAACTCAAATAAGCCCATGGTCTACTTTGGGAGGTAGGGCTCCATGCCAGGGATAGAAATCCGACTGGATTCCATTTAGAAGTTCCTGCCAAGGAGGTAACAGAAAAATGCTGTTGAGAGGGAAGGCCAAAATTCAGCTCTTTTGCAGTTACAATGCTTACATCCATTTATTACTATTTTCGTTTTAAGTTCTTCCCAAGATTTGCAGAAAATAAACCAGCACTACTTCAACTTTTCCTACCAGTATTTGGGCTCCATGCAAACTGAATCTGATGATTTTTGCCATAATAATTGATGTCAAAGAAGAAGGGTATAAAAGTTACAATAATACTTGATTTCTACTTTATGTAGAAATTATAGTTTTACTTCTGGAAAAACCATTTACAGAATGAAAGCTTAGCATGGAATTTTTTCATCTGTAACACCTGAGCCTTTTAACACACACATCTTGAAACTCTTCTACCATCTTCATCCATTTAACATCGCACAATTAGAGCTATACCACACTAAACTTGATTCTTCGCTGAGCAACAAGCCATGATCTGCAAACCACAATAATAGGAGTCTGCCCAATGCATTAAACCAAAACCCGAAATAAAATAAATCATAGGGTGGCTTAGCAAAATGCCTATAACTATCTAGGGGGCAGTTCAATTTTTCTCAAGCAGATGAAGTGGGTGGAAACATCCTGAATCCTTTCTCGTGTAAGCAGGATCAATACTGGGAAGGAAATAATTCACTCAGTTCTGATTTAGATACCACTGAACATGGGAAATTCCCCAGAGCAGATTGCAGCACCTGTTTGCTCTTCATAAATTCAAAGCTTTTGGCATCAGAATTATCTCTCAAAAAGGGAAACAGAAGCACCCACAAACAATATTTTGAAACTTTATTTGCTCTTTAGAAATTTATCAAAATGGCCTGATGCAACATGGATAGAATGAACAACATCCAAAAACAAGATTACCAATTAAACACACACATTTATAGTTTCTGCATGTTACACTTAGATGAAAGAATATGGCTTGTGTCATTAAGAAAAACTAGATATAATAAGAATCTATCACGGAGAAAAATTTTCTGATGAAAAAAGAAGCAATCTTCTTATAATCAGTGAGGAAGGTTGATTCAATTTTAACAAAATCATGTTTTCCTTTTTTTTAATCTTGTCTTAATTTTAATTTCCAGGATTTTTTTTTTAAAAAATTCTCATATAAATATCATTAAAAAAAACAACCCTTAGACTGCTTCCCCCTAGCTTCAGATATACTAGCACTGAAAGTCTCAGGGACATATTTGAGAATGCAATAGGGAGAGAAGCTGAATTATCCAGCTGTTCAATGGTGCTAGTGCAGCAGTAAAAC